AATTATTTTTTTCCACGGATGAAAACTTTTATCATTTTTACTTTATCTAAGAAATTTTTGAACGTACATAAAATAAAAATTATTTGGCATTATTGTATTTATTGCTCCCTATGTCGGCAATTCTTTTACAACTTATTCTCCATTTTTGTACTTATTTTAATGTTTTTACTATCCAAAAATCCGATCCCTACTCATGACAAGATTGCTTTAGTTTTACATGTTTGGCATAAGTCGTTTTATGTACAATAAAAACTGTATTAAATCAAAAGTATAATAAAAAGCATTATCTTCAAGAATTATTTTTTCCTAATTATACAAAAAATATTTGAAAGTGTAAAAAAATAATTGAAGATTTTACACTCAAACTAGTTATAATTATCAAAAAATTTCTCGATTAACATCACTGGATATGCAAATAATCGTCCCAATATTCACTTAAAATATTTGCTTCACAGACAGCTTTAGTTCCAATTTCATGAATTCTTCCACAAAATATACAAATTTTATTCTTCACTTTTGTATGACTTTCTTTTTCTTTTTTTCGCCACCACAAAACTATTCTTAAATGAAAATAAGAAAAATAATCCAATATAAATTCTTTCAAATAATTTATTCGATTTTTAAAATTGTACCTGTATATAGTACACGAGAACCAATTTTATTTAAAATAAACTTTGTTTTGTTACAATAAACGTTAGATGATCTGATAATTGTTAATGCAATTGTTGATGAAAGCTAAGAATGATTATAAATATAAATTTGTCTTATTGTTATTCTTTGTTTGTATTTTTATTTATTTAATGATTTTGGATCAACCGAAGACCGGGAGTACCGGATAATAACCGTTACCCTAATATATATCATAATTGTTTAACAGAATTTAATTTTAATTTGACTATCTCAGGAATCCGATTCGTATTTATTTTGAAAGTATAGTACTTACAAATCGACCTCCTACTTCTAAAATTGAAAATACATATACTTATCTGTAAGTATGTGCTTATAAATAAATTTTTTGGGCAAACGATTAAATTTAACCTTAAATTATCAAATTTAGCATACTTACATATAGGGTTGCCTAAATGGACCGACTCGAACCGAAAGATTGAGTTGGGCCTAGATGTTTGGCCCGAAAAAGACTCAACCGGCCTGAACCGTTAAAAACAAGCACGAAAAAATGGCTCGACGTCGGCCCGACTCTAAAACTGCACCCCTACTTACATAGGTATATTTGGAAAAATTTTCCATTTTGTACTTATAAATTAAAATTTTGTACTTAAACTTAACGTTTTCTCGATCGGACCCTGGATTATCTATATTCTAATTTATTATCTATGTATGTTTATTCTTAGAATCCTTCAATATTTTTGTTTAATTCATACAATAGGCATAATCAGAATGTTAAGCTCATTCAAACTCAACAAAAAATATTTTTTCTCATAATTAAGCATTCTGTCGTTTTGCAATTCTTTTGAATATATCACAACTGAATGCACTAGAAGCACAGCAATTCCAATACCTATTTGTGTTACCAATTTCAGTAAAAGCCTAACAGATTTAACATTTTCAGCAATTTGAAAACGGTGGCTTAGGGAGCTTTAAAAAATGTTTATTTTAATTTAGAAAATTTGTTTTTGTAGAACCTGTAATACAATTTAATGTAAACTTGTTGCTTTTCTTTGTTTACCTTTCAAATTTAAAAAAAATAAAAAATTTTTTATGAATTTCTTACATTCAACACAACGCAATGAACAATAAAGAAAACACTAAATGAATATAATTTTAAAAATTATTTTTAAAATTGAAATTTAAACTGTAGAGTAGGGTGGGACGATAAGAATGCCCCTCATAGTATTTTCTTTTAAGACCTATATATAACAGTGTTGCCACGGGTACAAAAAATCTTCGGGTACGGGTTTCGTGAATCGGGTTGGAGTGTTTTCATTTCGTGTCACGGGTTTTGGGTTGGCAAAAATATTGAGCATCGGGTTTCGAGTACAAAAAATGCCGGGTTTCGGGTATCGGTTTTGAGCGGCAACCCTGCTATATAATAATTCTCATCCCAGTTTATTTATTTTATCCTTCTTACAATTAGTTAGCTTATTCATTCCTCGCATATTGACTTAATCTACATACTTGGAGTTACGTTCTGAATTTTCAAATGCCCCTTTATATGGGCATTTGACTTTAAGTTTGATCAATTTATTATTTATTTTATTATGATTTCAATCTTTTCGTTCAACTTATAATTTTTTAAATATATTTTTTTCAAATGTCACGAAATCCAGGCTCTATTACCTAAAGAATAGAAATGTAAATAGCAAATGCCAAGATTTTTTAAGTGGATTTATTCTAATCAATTCTAATTGACAGTCCAAATATGAGTAATTTATTCCAGGCAAAATATCTACCAAAAATTTGTAAATACAGTAAATTGCCAAAATTGTCCACTAAAATTTTTCAATTTATCTTTAATATTTTTAAATTAACTAAAGAAACAAAGAGCCTCTTCAAGAAAAATTCAAAATTTTCATTTTCATATTTTGTAAAATTGAAGGTAGCATATAACCTCTCCATACAGATAAACACTCCATTTAGGCATAAAAAGGCGCAGAAGGGTGCTGGTAAAGGATTATATTGAGGACATGTTATAATATTATTCTTAAAATTTTTAAAGTAAATAGTTAAAGTTTTTAATTAATTATTGCCATTTCTTCGTTAGAGGTGCTCATAAATGACTGACATAATGGAAGTATAATTCTTAATATTTGTATACAATTGTTTATAAAAATGCAAATTAAAGAATGCTAAATTTAATTAAACATTTAAATAATAGGTACTTACGCATGTACCTCCACAAGTCCGTTGATGATATTCTGTAAAGTTTCTCTTTCTTTCCTTCTCTCCTCTTATAAAGATTAAATATGCGGGCGGGGCAAAGGAAGAGCACAACGGTGTGGCTCAGTGGTAAAGGTTAAGCGTAGGTCTGGCCAGCCCAATAGTTGTCCTTAGGGATTATAATGGTTTTATGTGCCTAGGTTATTTTAGAATGGACCCAGCATGATTCCACTTATCTATCTGAAACTCATTGATCTGAAAATAACTTTGAAATCAAATGGAAAACGTTGCTTATCTTATATTGACTGTTTTATTTAAATAAAATTAATACATTACATTATTAGTCTCCAACGTTTTTTAATCTTTATAAAGAGAATTAAAGAAATAAGAAAATTTGCGAACGAGCATTTGCGGACATGTGGCGGTATAATGTTATAATGACAAATAAACTTTAACCAACCGATATTAAATTACGCAAATTAAAATGGAAAACGTCGAACCTTTGAAGTAAATAAATAACTATTAATAATAGAACGGATGATAATATTGAGATAAGAATGTTAATTAGATAAATGAGTACAAGGATAAAATTCATATTTTAATTTAAAGCCCGTAAAAATTTTTTTTAATTTTAAATAAATATCGATATTTATTTAAGTAATAATTGTTTTAACAATAAAGATTTTTGGTTACCTAGCGATGAGAAGTAATAAATACCTTTATAATTTGTATTTTATTTCCTCGCAAATTGTGCCGTATTCACGAAAGATATTTAATAATAATGGAAAAATAAAGTTAAATACAAAATTTAAATTGAAGATATTAAGATATTTAGAATAGAAATTTTATATAAAATATTAATTTATTAGTGATGGACGGGTGGTGAAAAAAGCCGAGAGGCGGGATCGGGAATCAACCACGAGACCGAGTCCCGGGTCGAGACCGAGAGTCGAGACCAAGAGATTATGAGTTATATCACTTTATATACCCCTATATATCCTTCATATCCTCTTTAACGAGGATTGATATAAGGATCTTTTGCAAAAATTTAAAATGTAGATATTTAGAAAGCCATATTGGTCCGTTACAAAATTTTGCAAGTCTGCTGTGAGTGAGAGATCTTTTGCTACAAATCTTTTGCTAAATAATTTTTTATTAAAATCACAAAATTTTTTACTAAATTCATGTGATTACTTAAATATTTAACAATTATTGGAATTATTTGCTGAATTGAACAAAGGTTAAAAGATTAAACTTTAAAATACATAAATAATTTTTTAAATATTTCCAATGCAAAATTTGTTAATTAAAGGCAAAATTACTCCCTTACAAAATTTTTATATGCATTATATTTGTAGAAATGTTAATCAAAGTAGTTTGTGATAAATTACTAATCGAGATTGAAATGAATTAAGTAAAAAACTAATATTTGTTTGATTTGTTGAAACTGATCTTTGCAGTTCTTCATTAGCACAAAATTTAATGTGAACGTCATCCTGCTCGTTCTACTTAATTTCCCAAATATTTCAAATAAAATTCAATTTTTTTTCTCAATCAAGGTCATTGGAACTATTTTGAATGAAAAGGTTATAATTAAACATTTTTTTGCAAATTTACAGAAATACTCCCAATTTACTTTAGATAATTAATCAAATATTTTAAAAATGTTTAATATAAATATTGGAGGTGATGCTGAATATATAAAGTGAAAAAACTGATGATTTAGTATCTTAATTCAATTAAAATTTTTTTATTTTGCTTATAAAATACTTTAATTTTGATAAATATAATTATTTTATTTTGAATCTGGTCTTGGTCTTGATTCCGAGACTTTTCTAGGGTTTTTAGGTCTTTGGTTTTGAGTCTTAGAGAATTTTCGGTCTCACACGCATTTAGGTAATAGACTCTGTAAAATTTAATTATTTTCTTCAGAGAATCATTTTATATAGAAATAAACTGCTTATCACAAATCCTATATCAGATTCTTCAATAGTACCTAATTTTAAATTAATCTTATCTAAATTTATTTGCTCTATCTATTAGAAGAAATCTTGTTTTAATCAAATTTTACTATATCTCAAAAAATATCTAAATATTTTCCCTTTAATATTAATAAAGTACAATTAAATTTTATTTTAATTTATTTTATATTTTAATTAGAATTTTTATAAAAAATTTCGTAAAATATTTATAATGAAATTCACTTCCTTTTTCATTCTTTTCATCTGCGCCATAATTGTTTTGTCAGCTTATGCGGAAATAAACGAAAAATTAGCTGTCGAAGAAATGGGAGAAAATGCACAATTTGAGAAAATGGCCGTAGAACGAACGTAATTTATTATAATTTAATAATAATAATAACTAAATAATAATAATAACTATATTAAATGCTAAATTATTATTTTTAATATCTTTAAGGTAGGGGTTAGATCCTAAATTTTAAAAATCCTATCTGAAAAATCAACATTTTATAAGAAAAATCCGCAAAAAATTGTTAGACACAAAATTGAATTAAAATCATTTTATGCGCTTATATTTTTGACTCCATCAATTCTCCCTCAATTCTGTATATTTCTCTCCCAAATGAGTCTTTTTAACGCCGCAGTTGAAAATTTTGAGGATTTTGGAGGGCTTTAAGAGAAAAATGACTAAAATTTATTCAAAAATATAATAAATCACCATTATCTTCAAAAGACCACAAAAATCTGTATTTTTAAAAAATCCGCCTCGGCCTATTAAAAAACTACAAAATGAAGAAAAATCCGCACATAACCGATCCCTGCTTTAATATGTACATATAATATTATTTACTGCAATAAATTAATAATTAAGAAAATAATTAAATATTATTTAATTAAAATTCAGTTCTCGCGCAAAACGTTGTTGTTGTGGCGGATGTTGTTGTGGATTCGGTTATGGGTTTGGCCCTGGATTTTACTTTGGCAAAAAATAATGAGAATTCTTAATTAAAATGCTTGTCAATTTAAAAATATTAAATATAATTTTTAAATTTAATATATAAATTTAATATATGATTAAATATTTAATATATCATTTTTATCTTTGAAATAAAATTGCTTATTTATTGTGTTGTAATAATCTTTTTAATTAATGAATGTGTATAAATAAAAAACACTAAATTATTTTTTTATCGCAATAATAAATAGTGTCCCACATTATTGATTAAATAAATAAATACATATTATCTTTTGCACATTAAATTATTTTTTTGATAAATAAATTTGCCAAAAAATAACTAAGAATAAATTAAATAATTAATTTTTGCCTTATTTTTGTCTCATATTAAATTAATGCCCACTGAAAAAGACAACGTTGAAATTCGTTTATTATTGTTTGGTAAAGCTCGAGATATCGTCGGATTAGAATTATTAAAAGAAGAAATACCTAGAATTATTACTGTAAAGGATCTCTACAAAATTGTTTTTGAAAAGGCAGTTTAATTTTTAAATATTTTTTCGTTATTTTTGCCAATCTTTAAATTTATTTCAGATTTGCCCTCCTCTATTATCTATAAAGAATTCATGTATTTTAGCTGTTGATCACAAATACTTGAACATTTGTAATGAAGAGGAAATTGTATTAAATGAAAATTCGGAAATAGCAATTATTCCTCCAATTTCTGGTGGATAAAAATTTTACTCAAAATTAGGGTACTTTTCGTTATCACCTCCTATTTTTTCTTTCTCCTTTCAGAATGGTCAGTAGCAAATAATTTTACTAGGGAAAAGTTCAGGTTGCAAAACTGCAAAATATGTTTGAATTGCTGCCTCTAAAATAATTTAATCCTTTTTGACTGCTTATTTTGAAAGGAGAAATCAGGAAAAAAATTGGGGGATATAATTAGTTGGGTGATATAACTTGGGGTATATAACTATGGGGATATAATTATTTTTCCAGGCCCGGAAACCGGATTTTGTATTTTACACCCATGCCGGAATTTTCCGGATTAATCCCGTCAGGATTTAGTCCGTAAATATAAAAAAGCCGGATTTGGGATCCGAGTTTGAGTCCGATCCGGCGCCTGTCACTAGAGATAAAGGAAAAGTACCCAAATTATTAGTTGTCATATGCCAGTCTTTTTAAATATATTTTTAAATATTTATTATGTTATTTTATACAATTAAAATTAATTTAAATAAAATTATTTAAATAAATTGTTAACTTGTTTACTAGCTTTGTTGTAAGGCCAAAAAATATAACTTTCATAATTTATTATAATTTTATATGCAAAAAAGTAAAACCATTTATTTTCAAGACTTCGCTAAATTATTACGTAGTTTATGTTATAAATATTTTTCTTTCCAATTATGATTTATTAAAATAATAAAATTTTTTATTTTTATAATATAATTCTGAAACATTAACTTTTGGTCGATGACCTTATCTACGGAACATCGACCAAATGTCCTTATCTACGGTTTATTTCAATGTCAAACAATTACCCTTCTGATTTCGTAATCTACCGCCTTTAGGTCTTGGATAGTACATTGTCATATTGAAGAAAAAATTTTCATCTTTTAGAACCAACGTAAACACGCAAGATGTTATTTTTCTCACAGCAATCTCGATATGTCCGTCACGATATGTCGTTCTGCCTTATCTTCAATATAACTACAAGGATAAGAAGATTCTAAAAATTTTCGATATTTTATATTATTGTTTAACAATTGTGGTTGATAAATATTGTTTGATCTTTTTGGATTTTCTTAATATAAATTTTTAAAATTAATTATTAAATTTTTTGCATATTTCAATTAAATATTAAAGATTATTGCAAATTTATGATGTAAGCAATTTCTTTACTGACAATTTATATTGGTAAAATAAAAAACAACTGGCAATAATTTTTTGATGAATGACATAGAAGTGTATAAAATAGGCTGAACTTGATACATATTTTATTATTTTTATACGAGTTTTAAATATTATATTAAATTAATTATTTTAATTGTATTGTGTCGGAATAAGGCAGATCTTATAGGGATGCCCGAGGATTTGGACGGATGTCGGAGATATCTATGAATTCAAATTACTCTTTATCACTCAAATCCCCATATCGCTTTTAATCCACGAAATTCTTTCTAATCCACAATTTACTTTGTATCCCGTTATTCACATTAAGCCCGATATCCCCTTAATCCATTAGTCTAATCTTATATTTCTCCAATATTCTTCTTGATCCATCGATGTAACGCAATGGTACACTGATGTTCAATTTAAGCCCTCCAAATCCTCAGATATTTCTCTTGCGCCTTTTTACTCTTCATTTTTAAATAATATTTATATTATATTATTAAAAAACTTTAATAAAGAAACAGATATAATTAAATTATTTGCTTATCTTTAATACAAAATGCAAAATTCTTCCACTTACTTCCTAAGCATGATGATTTTGTTGTTCATCTTTATTTCGGTTACAATAGCTGATGAAGAGCCCAATATTTTAGCAAAACGCGATGCATTTAAATTGTATTTTTCGGAATTTTATAAATTTTCAATTATTTATTTTTAGGGTGTTACGTGCAAAACGTTGCTGTTTCGGATGCTACGGTTGCGGATATGGCGGCGGATTTGGTGGATTTCCAGGATTTGGAGGACTTGGAATTGGTTTAGGAATAGGGGCTGGTATTGGATTATTTGGTAGATAAATGAATTGATTATATATTTAAATAACAAATTTTATCAGAAAATTTTATTCTATATATTTTTTAAATATTATATCATTATTCAGATAAATTATACATTTCCCAAGCCCTTTAATTTAAAATAAATTTTATTAGGTACTATATTATTAAATTTGAAAATTTTAAACATATTTATCAAAGATTTTATCTTCAAAAAATTTAACGATATTTGTCCTTTTTAATGAAATAAACAATATAAAATACATATAAAATCATGATGTGTCAAATACGATTACTATACATAAATATAAAAATAGAAAATAATTATTAAGCCTCAAAGTTCATGAAAATTGCAGAAAAAATAAATTTAATCATATTTTATTGATATCAATTCTTCATACTTCTCTAATTCTTTTACCTAAAAAATAGTTTAAATTAAATTGTAAATAAAAAATTCCGAAATCTTGTTTTTAAATTAATTATCGACACACTTCTTGGTTATATCTAGTGATCTGCTAGGCAAATTTAACCTTCAGTTTTCTAAATCTCTCAGTTTTTCTAGGCACGGGTCAGTTTTCTAGGCTCAGCTTCTATATTCCATAACATTTTTAAACTTACTCCTGCCTAAGGTATCAGCAAATGAGATTTTGTCTATCACTAATAAAATTAGTGTTGCACCGGAAGTTCCGGTTTCGGCTAAATTTGCGGTTCCGGCGAAACACTAGTGCACATGCTTTTGGTCTTGGAACAATTCAGAAATGGACGTTTCCAATAAACATTTTCTCACCTCAATATATTGTGTTAAGGATATAGGTATATCCATAACAAAATTATTTTCAACGGCATTTTCTTTTGTTTCAAATAAGTACCATAATGACGAATTTTTAAAAGTCATAGTTAATTGTATGCTTTCATTTTCCTTTAGATCTTGATGTTTAAAACATTTTTTAATATTTCTGTTCAAATTTATCCATCTACCATCCTAACAAATAGTATTTTTAAGATAAGTTTAAATTTAGATACCGTATATGAATCTACACATAAAGAGCTTCTTGCTATATTTATTTGAAGGACTGTGTTGCCTGCTAAAATATAAGTTTTACTTTTATGTGTTTTAAAAAGTTTGGCAAACAGGGGAATGAAGTTTCTAGTTTTTTAAATCACAATACCGTATTTTTCCCAATAGAAGCGCATGCGCTTCTAATTTTCAACCTCCTCGTAGACTGCGCTTCTATTGGGACGTGCGCTTCAATTGGGACGTGCGCTTGTATTTTTCAACTCCTATGCGAATTAATTTTTATAACATAATAGAAAAAGTTTCTGAAATTTCTTTATCCTCTCGTGCTTGATGTAATAAAGCCTGAGGCCTAAAACAATGTATTTCATCATCTTCGGAACATCACTTGGAATTCCAATTCCAGAAACCCAAAAGCTTTTTGCAACATTTGCTTTTGAAATCACAACTCATGCTTTAACTACCTATCAATCCGAAATAAAATTTCATTGGTGGTGGACCCAAATAAGCAAGCGTTGTGAGAACAATGATTACCCAATAATTGCTCTCAAATATTCAGTTGTGAGGACATCATCCATCCAGCTTTTTCCACTCCATCCCCTAGGCAAGATGGAAATAAGTTTTTCCCCAATTATAACTCAAAAAACCTTAAATCTTTCGACAAGAGAGGGATCAGGTAAAAGAATAATAAAAACAAAGAAACTCCGTCCCCAAACCCCGACTATTTTTTTGGCAAAAACCCCCGACTCGAATCTTGAATGCTCTTCTCCGGTAAACCCCGAAACCCGACACCCCCGGCCCCGAAGGCTCGGGGTAGGGGAGAGTGGACATCTACATCTTCTTCAGTAGAGGAATGAGATGTAGGAAGAGTGGATGTTGGAATGCGAATAGCAATAACCTTGCTTCGGAGACTTTTAGATCTAATTAAATCCCATTCATTTGCCTTTCTCTAGGATGGATTCGGCTGAGAGACTTTCCTTTGTGACAAGAGAGGGATCACAAAGGAAAGGTATATTGTTTAAAATAGTAACTATGTAACAGGGTAATTGCTCAAATAACTATTTCATAGGGTGCGCTTTTAATAGGACGTGCGCTTCTAATGGGACCTGCGCTTGTATTTTTCAACCTCCTCGTAGACTGCGCTTCTAATGGGACCTGCGCTTGTATTTTTCAACCTCCTCGTAGACTGCGCTTCTAATGGGACGTGCGCTTCAAATGGGACATGCGCTTCTATTGGGAAAAATACGGTATCTTTGTATCTTACGTATTTTTTCATAATACAGGATGGATCTTTTGAATTCTATAATGGAAATTTTTGTGAAATTTTCGGAATAAATATTGAAATATAATATCCTACATATTTCGTCAAAAGTAATAGCCGCATGAAGGAAATTAATACTGATTGTTTTATTGAAAGGATTTGGTATTTTTCCTCTAATAATTACTTGGCTTTTACTATTCAATTGTCTTTCTACTCTTTTGGTTCTTTCATTCAATGCAAATTTGGAATGATTGTATGCTTTACATTTATCAGAATCTTCGTCAAATACAACTCCTTTAATGTGGCCGGTGATCTGTAATGGCATTGTTTTAATTAGTGTTGAACAAAACGATACTGGTATCGGCCAACCCGAGACCGAGATTGACCGATACTCAAGAACCCGATACCGAGACCGATACCATCATTTTGAGCCGAGACCGATACCGAGAAACGATACTGACCGAGACTAAGAGAAAATTTTATTTTACGTAAAAAAATACGTGTAAAAATAATTTATTCATTATTTTCATTATCCAAATCATCAGATAAATACTCTTCCTCATCTGGATCCGATCTGGCTTGGCAAAGGAATTTTTGAATTTTAGAAGACCTTATTCGAAAAAAATTCACTTTCTCTGTTATGGACGGATATCCGAAAAAAATTATGGACAAAAACTTGGATAATATTGATAATTTTGGTTCTTTGAGTCAGTATCGTTTCTCGCCGAGAAATGGACCGAGAATATCGGTATCGGTTTCGAGACCGAGAATGAAAAAACCGAGACCGATATTGGAAAAAAGCCGAGAATCTCGGTATCGGTCTCGTCTTGTCCAACTCTAGTTTTAATGCTAGACCTGAATATATTTTGTGCTTAACCTATCATTATAATAGAAGTGGTATCTTAAATATAAGATACATCCAATTTGTAGGTATCTTTAAGTTGGTGAATAGTATAATCAAACTAAACTGCCGTTCAGTGGGACTTTTAAACTAAAGTAACTTCAATGCACATCATTAACTATCGATAAGTGAATTATATGAATTTATCCGAATGTTTATGAAAAGACAAAAGTTTGTAATAATAAAATTTTAAAAAAACATGCCTCAACACGATTTATTGCCCAAGGAGGAAAAAGTATAATTGGATAGAGGATGTCATCACTATCGTTAATTCTAGTTATGTAGTGTTTATCTGTTGCTTGTATTAACACAACTACAGACATACCAGATCTAATTGGATTTGAAATGTAATCCTCTCTTAAAAGTTCCTCGCCCCCGTAACTTTGCATCCTTAAATATGAGTGTTTTTTTCCTTTTGTGTATTCTATTCGGTCTTTTCCAATTATAAATTCCTCAGGATCAAATTTGAACTTAAGCTCCATTAAAATGTTGAAATCTGATCAAATAAGTGATATTTAAAAATAAATATATTTGTTAAGTATCATACCTCGCTTATTCGCCTTTTGAGGGTCGTGAATCAAAATTACTCGAAAATCAAATTGGCGACCCTCCATTTCTTCAGCAGTCGGTACATGAGCTTCAAAACAAACGATTGTGCCATGTCCTTTCAATTCAGTTATCTCCTTTCTATGAAGTAAATCTGGTGGTTGTAGCGGATTGCCATCTTTATAACTATAATGCAGAAGCTGAATATCCCCATCTAACTAAAAATAATTTATTAATAGCCCCCCTCCCCCGTTGATCAATTTCGATGTTGATCACTCTCCCGCTGATCACTCTCTCGGTTGTTCACTTTCAATCACTCTCCCGGAAAAATGATTAATCGGGAGAGTGATCAACATTTTTTATCACTTTGATATCAGTTCTAGATAAGATTCGTTTTTCTTGCATGTTGCCTACCCAAAATTCCGCTGCTGACCAAGATTCCAAAAAATTGGTGTCCAAAATTCCGGTACCCATATACGTAAACCAATCAAATTTTGTGAAATTTAAAAAATCTTACATATATTCTATTAATACTCCAGATTTCAAAATCGGTTCTTATTGTGAAATTAGAAAAATATTTTCCATTAATTAAAGTGTGAATTAATGTTGTTTCTTCTTCACTAATAACATGTAGATAAACCTCAAATGCTGTATCATTTTCAAATATTTTTAAGTCATTAACTGTTTTACATCTAAATTCAATACATTCATTTTCGTAACAGTTAGGATCTTCATCAAAACACTAAAATTTAGAAATTTAATTTCTGGACTCAATCAGATTAATGTTTTTTGATAAATCGTGCTTTTAATTAGCCGAAAATAAGGCACCCAGTTTATTACCACAAGCATATGACTAATTAATCTCTGATTTTTAAAAATTAAAAAATACTAGAATTTTTAAAAATTTTTAAAAATCACGCGTTTATGTAGGTGTAAAAACGGGTTTATGGGTGGCATGATTTTCAATAAGTGAAATAACTTATAACACTTCAGATAAAATTAATTCCACGTAAAATTTTTGATTAATTTTAATTTTATTTCGATGGAATAATGTTTACTTACGTTTTTCGACTTGATCATTACAGTTGTTAAATTATAACCTCAAAACTATAAACCACTGTCCCAACTAAAAATAGCACTATTAATTAACTCGAAAAATATATTATTAATTACTGTAAGGGTTTTCCTCTTCTACGCCATCCAATAATTTTATAATCAATTTTTTAGATTCATTTTTAATTAACCAGAGAAAAAGGAAAAAACTTTCATCGCTAATACTTTCTTTGATCCTAGCCAAGTGT